AGGCCCTGGGGATACACGTCACAGGACTCAACAGCTTACAAACACTCGACCTACAGGAAGTCTGCAAAGAATTTGCAGATGTTTTCAGCCCCCAGCTGGGCACATTCAAAGGACCCCTGTGTCCTTAAAGCTAGACCCCACTGTCACTCCCATTAGAATTAAAGCAAGAAGGGTCCCTTTTGCTTTAAAGAGTAAAATTGACACTGAGTTAGACAAACTGATCCAACAGGGAATCCTAGAACCTGTTGATTCCAGTCCTTGGGAGACCCCCATTGTCACGCCTCTAAAGGCAAATGGGGACATTCGCATTTGTGCTGACTACAAATGCACTCTGAATAAGGCATTGCAGCAACATGCCTATCCTGTTCCTGTGGTCAGTCATATTCTGGCCTCCCTCAAGGGGGGGCGCGTTTTTGCAAAGCTTGACCTAGCTCAAGCGTATCAACAGCTGCCTGTTGATGATGATGCTGCTATAGCTCAGACTATTGTGACCCACAGGGGAGCCTTTAAGGTAAAAAGGCTGCAGTTTGGAGTGAATGTCGCTCCTGGGATTTTCCAAAGCGTAATGGAAAACACACTGCGGGGCATACCGGGGGTTTGCCCCTACTTTGATGATGTCTTAATTGCAGGAGACTCCACACACATTCTAGCTGAAAGGCTAAGAGCTGTTCTGTTAAGATTCAGGAAATCAGGCCTCAAGCTCAAAAAAGACAAATGCATGATTGGGGTGCCTTCTACTGAATTTCTGGGGTTCAAAATTGATGCTGCTGGGATTCACCCTGCTGAATCCAAACTGACTGCTATTTTAGAAGCACCTAGGCCAAAGTCCAAGGCCGAACTTCAGGCCTTCCTGGGCCTCCTGAATTTCTACAATTCTTTTCTTCCACAAAAAGCTAGTGTAGCTGAGCCTCTTCACAGGCTACTAGACAAGCAAGCAGTGTGGCAGTGGTCACAAACGCATGAGGGTTGTTTTAACAAAGTCAAGGCTTTGCTCATTTCTAACAGTGTACTTGCACATTTCAACGAGTCTCTTCCTGTGTGCATCGCTTGTGATGCGTCCCCTTACGGGGTTGGAGCTGTCCTGAGCCACCTCAGGTCTGATGGAACTCAGGTTCCTGTTGCATATTACTCCAGAACATTGTCTTCTGCTGAGCGCAACTACGCTCAGATAGACAGGGAGGCTCTGGCTGTTGTTGCTGGAATTAAAAAATTCCATGACTTTCTATATGGCAGGCACTTCACGGTCTTCACTGACCATAAGCCTCTGCTGGGACTGTTTACCACACGTAAGCAGACTCCCCAAATCATTTCCCCTAGAATGATTAGGTGGTCTATCTTTTTGTCTGCATATGATTTTTCCTTACTCCACAAGCCTGGAAAAGAAATGGGCCATGCTGATGGCCTCAGTAGATTGCCTCTGCCAGTAGTAGAAGCTGACCCTGCGCCAGCTGTCAACATTCTATCAATCCAAGCCTTGCCCGAGCTCCCTCTTAGTGCCAGGGATGTTGCCGCTGAATCAGGTACAGATCACACACTTTCACGTGTCCGTTCCTGGGTTTTGTCTGGTTGGCCTGAGCACTGCCCTAGTCCTGAGTTTCAGAGTTTCTGGTCCAAAAGGAACGAGCTGTCCCTTTCTCAGGGTTGTCTGCTTTGGGGAAACAGAGTTGTCATTCCCACCTCAATGAGGACTAGGGTCTTAGAATCCCTCCACGAGGGTCATCCTGGCATTGTTCGTATGAAGGCTCTTGCGCGCAGCCACTTGTGGTGGCCTGGTTTAGATAAAGATATTGAGGCTAAGGTGCATGCATGCCACCTGTGCCAACGATCTCGCCCAGAGATGCCCCAAGCTCCCGTGCATAGATGGGAGGAAACACAGTCCCCATGGTCTAGGGTGCACATTGACTACGCTGGACCCTTTCAGGGCCAGTTCTTCTTGGTCCTTGTTGACAGCCATTCGAAATGGCTTGAGGTTGTACCTGTCTCATCCACCACCACTGCAAAGACTATTCAGGTACTGAGGGGGATTTTTGCTGCACACGGGCTGCCAGATGTCATTGTGTCCGACAACGGCCCTCAATTCACTTCCTCCGAATTCCAAGCTTTTTTACAGGCAAACATGATTCGTCATGCCACGTCTGCACCCTTCCACCCGTCCACCAACGGTATGGCTGAACTTATGGTGCGCATCACAAAGGACGCATTGAAAAGACTCACCTACGGGGACTGGCATCACAGGTTGGCTGACTTTCTCCTTTCTTAACGCACCACACTGTCCACTTCTACAGGGAGAAGCCCAGCTGAACTTTGTTGGGGGTGTCAACTTACTACTAAACTTGACCGGTTGCATCCGGACAGACTGCCTTCATCTACCTCACATCCTAGGGCACCTAGACAACTACTTGTGGGTGCCCCGGTTTGGGCTCGCAATTACGGGCCTGGTCATACATGGGTCCCCGCTTCTATTTCCAGGGTCACAGGTCCTCTCTCCTACGAGGTAGCCCTGGACAACGGTCGTGTCCTGCGTCGGCACATCGACCAACTCCGCCCTCGGCGGGACTTTTCAGATGAGACTCCTGGGTCTTTTCCAGGGGGGGAGGGGGACCCTTTGGAGCAAAGGGAAGGGCACGAGCTGCTGCCCATCTCCACTGATGGAGCTACAAACGGCCCATCCCAGGGTTCCGCGAGAGCTCCGAACAAGAATTCTATGAGCCTACCTAATTACCAGGCATCCACGCCTACTCCAGCCAGGGAGTCACCCCGGGGGCATACTCACTTTCCACACACATCACACAGCACTCCAGTCACGGAGGATACCCGGGGGCATCCCAACAAATCATTCCCCGCAAGAGAGCTGGCACACAATTCCCAAGGTTGGCCTGACCTTACCCCAAATCCTACCGGGGGTCAAACATACAGGGAGGTGGTCGAGGAACCAAGTCCCGACTACAACACCTCTAGCCCAAATCAGGGAGTAACTGAGTTTTGGGAAAGTACAGAAACCCACACAAGCCCGGACACAGAACGGGGTTCAGGGAATGGACAGCCTCCTGACAGGTCTTGGATGGACCTAGGAGGTTCAACAGAGACGCCCAGCAGTGGCTATCACTTCAAGGGGCCCGAGGGTCTACAGCTAGGCAGGTCAACCAGGTCACAAAGTGACAGAAGCCCTGGCCTGACGAGCCCGGTGGGCGAGCAAGCAGGCCAGGCAGCGGGGCACAGTCCTTGGAAGGCACCAAGGCAAAATAAGGAGAACAGGCTCACATCTCCCTCCAGTCAGGGAACTCATGCTAGTAACCCAGAGCTGAGAAGGTCACAGAGAGCAAAGAAGTCTCCTAAATACTTAGAGGATTACATAACATTGCTGGCTAAACAAAAGCCAGGTAACGATAGGAGCACTGAGAAGCAGAACACTGCATAAAATAAATGATTATATGTTGGTAGTAGTTTTAGCCCGGGGGAAAGGGGTGTTATGTCCCAAGCCTTGCAAACAGCTCGGGCGTTTGCAGGCAGTCCCGGGCAGGTGCAAAGCTGCCCGGGACCAGACAGGCTGTCGCCAGCGCCGTGCGCATGCGTGGGTGCTGGCGCGGGAAAAGTATCGCATTTACCCGGGAAATGTCTATATAAGAAGTTGGGAGGTTTTGGGAGCTGCTGAAGCCATCTACTTGTAAGCTGAACGCAGAATAAAGAAAACTGAGAACTTCAACTGCTTCTCGTGTCTGCTTCCCGCCACGGACTCAACAGTAACTATGAAAGCAACATTGCTGCTTGTTTTTCATGTCCTGAGTAATAAATAGCATGATCTTTTTAGTATCCAATACCAATTCATTTCTATTTGCCTAAGGTCAATATATAGCCAATTCATTGCATCTTCCATTGTATTGAGCTTTCCTGGGTTCATGCTTCTTACATTTCATGATCCCATTGCAATTCTGCAGATTTCTTTTTTGTCCTGCATGGTAACATCACCAACTAGTGATTTCAAAGGCTTTAATCTAACTGTATCATAATCATTAATACCTGAAAGAACCTTAGCTCTTCTTCAGTAGCATGTTCAATGCCATCCACCTGGGGACCCATTATGTGGTATTATATCAGTGTTTCTCAACCTTGACAATTTTAAGGCATAATGGATTTCAACTCCCAGAATTCCACAGCCAGCAATGCTGGCTGTGGAATTCTGGGAGTTGAAGTCCACATGCCTTAAAATTGTCAAGGTTGAGAAATACTGTATTATATTGTCAATTACTTTATCTTGTCTATACATGTGGATGATTGCTTTGGGGGGAAGGGGTAATACTGAGTATAGGGAGCCCTCAACCTACGACCAAAATTTCTGTTGAGACAGTTGTTAAGTGAGTTTTGCCCCACTTTATGACCTTTCTTGCCACAGATGTTAAGTGAATCACTGCAGTTGTTAAGTTAGTAACACAGTTGTCAAGTGAATCATTGACTTAGTTGTGATGACTAATACTTGCACCTTTGACACAAGATGAGTAAAGAATGTATGTGAATATCCTGCTGTTTATTGTACCTCTGTAGTGGTTTGCAAGCTATTTGGCCCTCTGAACTTCCGTTCATCCTGTGGTGAAAATACAACTGATTTTTTTCCCCCACTGTAGCTCCAAAGTATAATAAGACAGTAGCCAGCCTATGGCTGCAACATGATAAAAAAAAAAAAAAAAGATGACATGATGAAAACACAAGCAGCAGCTATAGATTTTGTCAGGAAATGAGACACATTTTAATCTGGATTAAATACAGTTGTTGTTATTCCTAAATTCTGTTCTATACAGTTGTTGTTATTCCTAAATTCATTCCTCAGCAAATATATTGAGTGGTTGCTGTATGTACAAAGATAACCAGCTAGATTTTTATCCCTATGGGGAGAAGTATCCTGAGATGTAGTCATGTATGCAAGCCAGTTATTTCCATGATGAAATTGTATATATTATTTTTCTGCTTCAATGGCATCATATTGTTCCTTCTTTCTATTCTTCCAGCTGACAGTTGACCTGTCCTCCAATATATTCACCTCCATTGGCTCAATGATCTTGGTCTTGTTACTCATCTTTCTTGTAGTAGGCATGGCTTACATCGTAACTGCCAATAAACGTGCCACCCAAGGGACTTACAGCCCCAGTCGCCAAGAGAAGGAGGGATCCCGAGTTGAAATGTGGAACATGGCGCAACATCCTCCCTTGGAAAGACTGATCTAACTGAAATTAATAATGATCTTCTCCACTGATAACATAAAACAAAAAGAACGTTTGGAATACCACAGTAGAATCCTGTAGACCATAAGGATTTCTGCCATTCAACTCAGAAACCTTGCTTAATTATCAGAGGAGGCTTCACGGTTGCGTGAGACTTTTCAGCTTTGCATTTCTGTTGTTAAACCTTTTACACATTCAATGCCTGTGGAAGGAAGAGAAAATTTTAAAAAGCCAAGCAATCCGTTTGTCCTTGCATGCACAGGAAAGCACTTTGGGGTGCAAGATTTCATTCTGGAAAGCATTCATGATCAAAGCGGCTGGATGCCATGTCTCATTTTATGAAAATTGTTATTCATTGTGTTGATCATTATATTTAGAGTACAATCAAGTTTAGACTGTAATAGTTCCTGGGATCTGTGTTAAGTGCCTACATTTCAGATGTGACTGAAAGCCACTTACCTTCTGGCCATCACTTCAGAAGAATGTTGTCACCCAATGCTCCATGTACACTCCTTGTCCTTCGCTTACTTCTCTGCAGAATCTTTAGAAGTAGAAGTGTTTCTCTGCAGTACATCAGTTTAAATTCTTTAAACAGGAGTGAAATCAACATTATGGGGAAAAAACTGTTCTTGCAGCAAAATAAAGCTTTGAAACCATTCTTCACTTTGGAGTGTTTTTGTCATCTTAAAGACTTGTAGACTTAGACCACAGAGGAATGACCATATGCAATTACCAGCATTTTCAAACTGAGCAGAGGTAAATTTAATTGGCTATCATAGAACTAATAGTGCAAGGCAGTGTGCAGATTTGTGTGTGTGAATGTGTGTGGTGCATGGGTGTGCATAAGCATGTAAGACACAGAGACATTCAAGCTATTTATTTTTAGCGTACAAAATAGAGCAAGGCTTTATTCACCAAGAACATGCTCTTGCCTTTTTCAAAAAATAAAATAAAAAAAAATCCAGTGGGAATTTTTTTTGCATTTTAGGATTAGGCCAAAACTTTATTAATTTATTACATCATTTAAATCGGTGGGAAAGAGCAGGAGCTTGCTTCATTGTAGTTGTTTTCATTCGGATTTTATTAGGAAATAATTTGCACCCTTGCAAATTCCACATTTTAGCAATTCATCTGATATTATCAAACAGCAGCAAGACTGACAGGTCCTAAACCTTAAATTGTCTTTTAGATTGCAATACATTTACCTGAGCCTCCAGTTGGTTTCATGGCCTTGGAAACAGGATTCAGAGCCCTTCATTTTTTTTTTCTTCAGTATCTAACTGGCCTTTCAATTGTTGCCTGTAATTTCCTGCAAGTTTAATATCCACTGGCATGTTTTACTAGGAAATGCAGATTAGTTGGGTCCCTTCAAAATCCCCTTTTTATCACCTGTTGTCCTGGGCCAATTCTTTTTATTGCTGTTAAAAGGCAAGGTAACTACTTGAACAAAAACACATACAAGGAAGTTTAGCATAGTGCTGTATGTTCTAAAACAGGGGTCCTCAACCCCTGGTCTGTGAACCGGTACCGGGCCACTGCATGCCAGAAACTAGTTTGCACAAGCAAGCAAAGCCCCATCCGTGGGATGCAGACAGCACACAAAGCCATGCACTTTCCGGTCCACGGAAAAATCTTTCTCTATGGAACCGGTCCTTGGTGCCCAAAAGGTTGGGGACCTCTGTTCAAAAATGCCCATGTAGCCACTGCATTGGTTAAAGAAGCCCAGGTTCTACAGTATGTCTGATGTTTATGAATAAAATGAATGGACTTGTTGATTCCTACCTGTAACTAAACAGCCACACATCCAGTAGAATTGGGGGAAAAACATGCTTGTTTTGCTGCAGCCGACTTCAGAAACCTTTCCTGTATGCCTATGAGCCGCTGAATGCCAAGAAATCACCATGCATTCATGTCAGAATTAGTCCTAAATTAATTGACTGTCTCAGAAGGACATGGATAATTTACAGACTGAAGAAACACCAGGTAGACCTGGTAGGTAGACCAGGTAGGCCAGACCATGAAATCAATTCCACCTGTATCTAAAACTACTTTTATTGAGACTGGTTATAATAACAGAATGTTGAAAGTCTGATTCAACGGTACCTTATCCCCTTTCTTGTACTTTAGTGATTTAGGGAGGTTGAACCATTTCCAAACAATATATTGTTATCGATTTAAAAATGCTTCTGTACCTTTGGCCTAAGCAACAGCTCCTGCATATCTCCATCATTTTCCTTACTCTCTACAAGAAAACCTTGTATTTTTTTTTTAAGGGACAGAATCTGTGCTCATTGGTGCATTTCATGCAAAATTTGTAAGACAACCAACAAAACCCCAGGGATTTAAACCTTTAAAGAATCTGCTTCTGGAAATTTTCTCCTCGCCCCCTTCCAGCCCCCCAACTTCCCACGTTCAGATGATGAAAAACCACAGTCTCCCCTTAGCTTTCCTTGCATACCAGGAAATCCACATCATAAGTGGAGGCACTACTAGGGTTTTTATGTACATGAGAAGATTTGAGGGTGGGAGTATTTTTACTTGTCACATTCAATCCAAATTCAAATCCAAATTCCAGGGTCTGAGAGTGTTATTTTTCCTGTTATGATCATCATGATGATAAAAACGAGCCCTTAGAAGTTGTGTTTGAATCCCTGGCAACAGCAGAACGTGGAATGTTTTGAGACAATACAAAGTAAAGGAGCGGCCTCAAAATTGTAATATTTAGTACTATAGTTCTGAAAGTATGGATGCATAATCTATCAATTTATTGCTGTTGTTAAATTATTATTGTTGCTGCTGCTATTATTTGTGCTACTGTTTGATTGCTGTCAACTACTGTGGTCATATTTCACAAATAATTTCAAATGGGAGGGTCATATGTGAAATTCATCCAATCTAAAAGTGCTTAAATTCTTTGATTGCATCATGCTGGATTTTACATCTGTTTTATTTCCATTTTACAAATTTAATTCTCATTAATACAGAAGCAATGATTCAGAGAAGGGAGTTGACCAAAAGTTACATAATCATTAATTTTTTAGGTGCAGAAAAGTTTTCTTCTGACTAGTGAAAGATTCTGGTATTTGACAGACTCTAATAAATGCCTTTTATTATATACTTGATCTGTTGATTCCTTTGTGAATATACCATATATATGCAGCCAAATTTTGAGAATCACAACAGATTTATTTAAAAAATAGGACTTGTTTTAGCAGTATACTTCAATAAAAAATATAGAGTACATCTAGTGGAAGAAAGGCCTGCACAAGATTGACAACATCACTGATCTTGGCAAGAGGAACTTGAAAGGCATTTCCATCCTTATAGTATTTATACATTTCCATCTTTTTTATCTGCACATATGCAGACACAGTATAAAAGCTGGAGATGGGGATGCTTGCCATTGTAACTGTCAAGAGTAGAACTATGATTAAGTAGAGGTGATTTCTCTTTCTCTCAGAAGACTGCCCAATGATCAGAACTGCTCACTTGGCTTTGGCAGCTTGGATAGGGCTTCTTAGGGTGGGCAGCTAGCTGCTCCTGTCACTTGTTTCCAGTGAATAGCTATTGCTTGAATTCTGCACCAACCAGATTGCATGCCATGCCCAGTTCATGTCAAATTCCATTTGTATAGGTTATATTTTCTGGATGGGTTGCCATCTTACTTAAACTAGGCTACATTCACAGAAATGCCATTCTCCCATTGACAAGACCAAAAGTGATGGAATTAACTTCCAGCATTTCATAATCTCATGTTTTTAACATGCGTCATGGATATTTTTAAAGGTTCAGGAATACCCAGGAGTTGGCTATTCAGACAGTGAGAGTACTGAAAGGTTTTCACTGCAGATCAGTGACTGTAAATAGGCAACTGTGTATTTAGAATCCATTTCTATTCTGTGATGAAGTTCCACAGTCAAGGCAACGATGGCATTATTGATATGTATTCTATTCTCCCACTTGACTCGATTAGTAAAATGTGCACAACTGCAAGCTCCTCATTGTGATTTTTATATATTGAGAAATATGTTAAATATCACAGAACAAGGTTCCTGTTTTCAAGCCTGTTGACTTCAAGTCTAGAGTTCTAAGCAACGTGAAAGAAAACAACTATATTTCACCATTTTTGAAATTTGCTATTTTTTTTATTTGTTTTATATTACACAAGTGGGGCACTTTATGGCAATGCGAAGTCCATCAAATACTTTGTACTAACATTAGCCCAAAGGATCAACTTAAAGTGCATACAGAGGTGCTACTAATATATAAAAAAAATCAAGTTCCAGTTTTTATTCTCCAAGAGCAGCATTTTATACTTTTTCAGAGCCAAGATCCAATTTATAATGTGGCTGATTTTTATCTAGTAATTTTACCTTCACATGTCCATTTGAAAGCTGTTTTATAGCAGATCAAACCATTGACCTATAATAGTTTCAGTTTTGTTTACAGTGAGGGGAAAGAGCTCTCCTGGATTTGAGGTTGAATCTTTTTCAGCCTTTTTCTTGGATTGAGATTTAACTTCTTGCACACACAACATGTCTACTAAGTTAAACAATGAGTCTTTCTTCATCTTCTTTCTAAGAGCCATCTTCTTTCTAGGAAGACTGGTTCCTATCCATCCTGCAAAGGCAGTATCAATGGCAAGAGACAGTGTTGGAGAGCAAGTGAAGGGAAGAATAAAAAAAAGGTTCCTATTCATAAAGTAGTGGGCATAGCACATGACAAAATACTCATTTACAAAAATGTCATCAGCCTCCCTGAATGCTCCCTGCAATTACACCAGAAACTTTGTGGACCCAAAGGTATTGATGTAAATAAATTGCTAGAGGCTGATGCTTTGCTTTATATCAGCATCAAAGGGACTTTTTGGAAGATATTGGACATGTTGAATTTCTCCTTTTTTTTCAAAACTTGTTTAGCAGTTTAAAAAAAACCTATCCCTTTTTTATAATTGGCTACACTATTCTTCATTTTCTTTTTACAACATTTTTATTTCAATATATATAACTGATGCAACTTGGCTTAACCATATTGGTTTCATCAATAATACAATTCTAGTCCCTTTTCAAATAGTTCTATATTGGTAGAAGAGAAGTAGAAACACATTCTGGGGCAAATCATCCTGGATTTTGTTGCTTAATTTGCAACATTCATAACATAATTTTAAAAAAGATTTCTGCAATTCTTAAGATTTTTTTTTAATAATAAACCAGGCACTGAATGATTTGCTCTGTTCAGATATATTTTTTTCTGTATTCTCTTCTTCAAGACAAATGATCATAAATATAGAATTGTGTTGCATCAATGAAATTATGTACACAGTGTATCGTAAGTAAAGTACACTCTAGAACCACACCTATTGCAATACAGGGAATGTGGTATGTAACACCAAATTCATCACAGTGCTTAACTGCTACTTGCAATCAGGGCTAAATTACACAGTGCTTCAATTAACTCAAGAAAGTAAATTCAAAATAGTTCTTGATCAACGTTTAGCTATGGGAAGAAAATATACAAGAAATATATAAAAGTAAACCAAATAAACAATTCAAATGTAAGGGAAACATGTACTGAAACAAGCAATCATTTATCACAAGTAGAGCTGTCATACCCTGGATCATAAAAATTATACATATTGACCATTCATTGCCATCTGGCATCAATTGTAAGAAGCAGCTATTTATTTGCATGGTGAAGGAACAATGGGACAGAGAGGATCAGCAATTACAAGTAAACAAACAGAAA